TGAAAGAATAATCAAGGAATAGCAAAAAGTTCAGTGTGTGTAAATAAAAATAATATAACCAAATGTTAGTAATATCAAAGTGCAAGCTACTTCCTCATTCTACTTTCTTAAATAATCACCACCACGTATTAAGCTTTCACCATAGAAGAGGTTTCTAAGCACAATTCAAAACTCAAACTCTCACTAGTGGGGAAAAAAATACATTTTTTTTTGGAGGGGTGGGGGCTTGTCAGGGATTGAACCAAGGAGCACTTAACCACTAAGCCACATCCCTGCCCCTTTGTATTTTGAGAGAGGGTCTCACTACGTTGCTGAACTGGAATGAGATTGCTTCAGCCTTCAGAGTCACTGAAATTACGTGTATGCACCCCCATGCTCAGCAAAATATGCACTTAAAAATCACATATATTGGGTACTACTAGAAAAAAATAATTCTTACAATAAAGTTCTTTCCCTTCAACAACCATATCAAAACTTAATATTTACAAAGATTCAATTAACTCTACACAGTGTACCTAATTATTTTCAGTTAGTTTTCCCCCAACCAATCATCTTAAACCAGTATTTTTATCATATTTTAAAACAACTATGTTTTAAAATTTTTCAAAATGTAGGAAGGGGGGGCTGGAGTTGTGGCTCGGTGGTAGAGTGCTCGCCTAGCTTGTGTGAGGCCCTGGGTTCGATCCTCAGCGCCACGTATAAATAAAGATAATGTGTGCAACTACAACTAAAAAATAAATAAATATTTTTAAACATGTAGGAAGGAATCAAATCTTTCATATAGATTTTTTTAAAGTAATTTAAAAAATAGCTTCTCTTTCTTTTCTTCCTCTTGAAACTGCACAATTTCTCAAGTGAGATTTAGGAAATAGCTTCACTAACCTGAGTTGTAAAAGCACTAATGAAGTTTTGTTTGTTGTACAGTTGTATAATCATTTACAAAAATTAGCTCTTATAACCAATTAATGTATATAATACATTCATTATATACAAACATTGTATAAAGAAGAGGGCAAAAAGTGATTTCATAGTTCCAAAGATCTCAGCATCACATCTTTCTCAAATTTGCTTATCCCAGAAATCCACAACATTAACCTTGAAACCTGACTAGCTGAAAAGCCTGAGGACAGTACTGATGCCCAGTACTACAGGAGTACAAAAAGATATAACAAAGCAAAGCAAACGCCTAGCACGTTGCATGGAGACTACTGTGCCATTAACAATAAAGAAAAGGGGTAAAAACTACTTGTCTTTAAGATATCTTTAATTATTCAGAGTACAAGGATCACATATATTTTCTTCGTCTTTTAAAACACTATGATTTTTCCGGATATAAACTCCCAAGGCAACATGGTCGCAATAATCATAGTGGCATTGAGGGTAGGGCAAAGTCTTGGAATCAGCCTAACCACCTAGCAATAGGGGAATAGACATCTAAATAAATTATGATTTATGATAAAAAATAAATAAATAAATAAATAAAACACTATGATTTTTCCTTTCTATTTTTCATTAACATTTATAACACTAATTTTATTTATCCAATGGTCTGAATTAAAAAACAAAGGCAAAACTTCCAAGTACTTAATGAAAAAGCATTTTTCATTTCAATCATCTTAACCTAAACCTTGCCCTTTTATACTACAGTGTTAGCTAATGTTGACTCAACAAGTTTGTGAGCTGATTCCCCCAACACCCACTTATGGACCCTTCAAACTTTGACAGGTTTGTTCTAGTAACCAGAACTCATGCCAAATTAAGTGTTTTGTGTTACTCCTTCAGTGAAGAAAATAAATTCACATTTTCAAAGTAGAAATGAAGGCTCTTTTCCCTTTCCTGACTTCAGTCAAATAAAATTTATACACAAAAAGACACCTGGAAAAATTCTAATACATTTTTTTAAAAGATAATGATTTTCAAAACTTATAAACCATGAAACATGAGATTATATAAATCAATATTTTCCCTTGATTTTAAAATTCCTTGCTACTTTATAAATATTATCCTGCAAAAGAAAATGAATGAGATGAAAGAAAACCAAAATCAAGAGCTGAAAATTCATAAAGCAGTGAAAGATTAAATTACAAACACCTAAAACAGCTAAACAAGTTTCTGATATCTGAGGAAAGCTAATATTTTTAGATTTTTCTAAGCTAAATCTAAAGAAAAGAGTTGTAAAGTTTTGATATTAAATCCTGCTGTATACACAAATTTTAAACATCACCATCATATGCAAATAAAGGGATTAAGCATTGGGACAATCCATTTTGATATGTGGACTCCCAAGTCAATTTTCTTAATTAAAAATAATCCTTTGAGGGGCTGGGGTCATAGCTCAGTGGTACAGAACTTGCCTAACATGTGTGAGGCACTGGGTTCGATTCTCAGCACCACATATAAATAAATAAAAGTCCATCAACAACTAAAAATATATATATTTAAAAATAATAATAATAAAAATCCTTTGAGCCAGGTGCAGTAACCTGTAATCCCAGCAGCTCAGGAGGCTGAGGGAAGAGTATCACAGGTTCAAAGCCAGCCTCAGCAAAAGTGAGCCTCTAACCAACTCATAAGACCCTATCTCTAAATAAAATACAAAATAGGGCTAGGGATGTGATTCAATGATCGAGTGCCACTGAGTTCAATCCCAGGTACAAATAAACATATCCCTTGAAAACATTCAACTTGTTAAAATTGCATAGTTTTTATGATTCATTAAACTTGGGGTTTGGTTTTGTTTGCCCATCACTGACTTTGAAAACTTCTTTTTAAAAATTAATGGGCTGGGGCTGGCCTCAGCAGCTGCACACCTGTCTGGCATGTGTGAAGCACTGGGTTCGATTCTCAGCACTGCATATGAATAAATAAAATAAAGTCTATCAACAAGTAAAAAAAAAAAAAATTAACACTCCAATGAAATATCACCAAGGCATCACTGGCAATTGTGTACTTTACAGTTTCACTTTGAAATTCACCATCATATGCACAATTGCTGTGAGTAAAGCAGATAGGATCAAGAACAAGTAACTGCTCCCAAAAGAAAATGAATGGAAGTCTCCTGAACACTAATTTTAATTGTACATGCAATTCCCAACAAGTTTAGACAAAGTTAGACATCCACATGAGCTAAACAGAACTTTGCTATTAATTTGTTAAGGCAAAAAGATACTTTCTCAAAGTAAACTTCAAAGTACCTACGAATGGCTTTTAAATACTAGTACATTATTCTATAACATGAACCGAGTTAAACAACCACCTGACAGCTCTTACAATACCTTGTTTGAAAAGTGTTATTCAGAACATTTCATTAGTACTAGAAGGAAATAGTAAATGAGTGAGTAGTCCATAAGAACTCAGGATTTGACGGTTCTTTTAAAGCAAAAGGGAAAACTGCAGTTTCAGAGTTAATACACTGGCAATACTAGTATCTAATAATAATATACATATTTGAAGGCTCGCTTAAACAGATACCAAAAACACGAAATATTTATGCTGAAAATATTCCGCCTACCGAGACATCATATGACCTGTAAAGGGATTATCTATACTCTCACTTTATAAGAATAATGAAAATTATTAGAAGATTTGACTCAGTGTTCGTTACAAATTTAAATTGCAATAGTCACTTCACTGTGATCTCTAATAAGCGGTAAAAATTCAGGCTGAGATGAAATACAGGTGATTCAATCACAGTCACCTAACCTGAAATGTAGGAAATAATCAGTCGATTATTGTGAAATGCTTTTTATTCAACCATGCTAGACTGCAAACATACTTTAAGAACACAATAAAAGTGATGGGATTATGGGTACCTTGAGGAGTTATATTTTCCAAACCAAAAGTTAAGGTGCATATAATCTGACAAGTACTATGGAGAATAGTGGAAATGAATTACTTGAAATGTAACCACCCCACGAAAAACCAATACATGACGTCAAAACGTGTATTTTTTAGAATCGGTCAACCAAGACCATTACTGTACAAACATCTGAAAATTAAGACAACTAAGAAATTACTCAGTCCTCTCGTCTATTAACTAATCCCTACAGTAACCCAAAAAAGTTACTATTTACGTGAGATTAATATTCTTCACAACTTCCATACTCAGGGATACACGCCGAACATATAAAACTGTCAATTAGTTTTACGAAAAAGCTTAGTGGTCGGTACAGAAAGAAAATCCACAGAAGAGAAAACATTTGACAGCTCCTTTCCCCCAAAAGCCATGTAATCTGCTTTATAAACCATTACTGCCCAAGTACACTGGAGCGAGCGGGTCCACGGCTCGCCTCCCCGAGACCTCACAGGGAAGCGTAACCAACCTGACTCTCAGGCAATCAGGAAGATCGGGAGAGTCAGTAGAAACTGACGTCCGCAGGACGAGGAGTTTGAGAGAAGGGTGAACAGCGTAGTCGCAGGGGAGTTGGTTTTTTTGTTTTGTTTTGTTTTTGTTTTTTAAGGCGGTAAACTGGGGAAGAAGTTAGTGGAAAGGATAGAGGGAGGCGAAGCCGAGGTCCGGCTCCGAGAGGACGGCGTAGCACCGACAGACCGCGATTAACTCAGCATGTGGCAATGCCGAGAGTTCCGAGACCTGACCTGAGCACCAGCTACAAGAACGCTGATACGTGGCTGCGAGAGGACACGCGGGGGTGGGGCCCGCCCCGCTAATTCCTGGGCTCCCTGAATAAGCTATCAGAGGAGGATCGCAGCCTGAGAAAGTCAATGAGTTCAAGGAGGCCTGCCCTGGCCCGGCAACGCCACAGCAAGGAACGCTGCTGCGCGCGGAACCTCCGGGTCTGAGGCCTCGGGGTCGGCCCTGAGGAAGTCGGAGCAACCCCTGGAGCTCCCGGCCCCTCCTGGCCCAACCTCTGTCCTCTCTTCTCACCCCCCACAGGCTGGGACCGGACCCCTGGGACTGACAGGAAGCTTCCGGCCACACGCCCGCGGCAGCGGCAGGGTAAAAAAAACAATACGCTCTTAGCGCCGCGAGTGACACTCACCGGCCCGAAACCTCGAATGAAACCAGCAGCTTCGGGGGCGGCGGCAGCAGTGGCAGCAGGAACCGAACATCCAAAATGGCGGCTCCCTCGGCCTCACCACCGCTACTGCAGGCGGAGGGATTCTTAGGAGGAAGCGGGTTTTTAACTAACTTCCCACACTACCTCAATAACTTCGGTCCCTATCTCTCCCTCCTTGTCAATCCTGCGCCCTCTGACTGCAACTCCTCGGGCCTCCCCCCTCGGATTACCCAAGAACTCGGACCCCGCCGAGGACTATTTGCCAACGAGGAGGCGACTGCTCCTGGCAGAGCGACGCAAAGCGTAGCAAGGATCGGGGCTGTCACTGATGACGCTAGACGCGGCTGCCGAGTCACCGCTGAGATGAGTCTGAGCAAGAAAAATCCGGACTACCCCGGAGACGACGCACTTTGGTTCCGCTTAGAGCGGGAGGGCGGGCGGACTGGCGGGCGGGCTAACCAGGAAGTGGTGTGCCACCTGAAAGGGGCGGAGCTAGGCAGAGAAGCTGAGGTTGTGGGAGAGAAGCAGGTGGGGACCGAACGCTTAGCCAGGCTGAGGAAGAGAATCCCAAACTCGTTCCTTTCACCTTTAAGACCTCAGCTTTCTCTTTAACTTCAAAAACATGCTTCAAAGTCATCTTGGATTCTATGGTTTTATGGTATCTTTGCAATGAACTTTATGAAAAAAAAAAAAAAATTAGATGACAAAGCAGAATAGAGGCCAAGCCTAGTCCTGCCCCTCTTGCTTTGGACAGATCACTTAAACTCTCCAAGCCCTGAATTTTCTAGTATGTAAAAAGAGAAAATTTGGACTAATAATAGCTAAAAACTCTTTCAGAATGGGCCTTCTATGACTCCATGAATTAATGACCTGGGCCAAAGAAAATTTGACTAGACCGTTCCTGGCTTGAAAAATAATTACTAACATGTGACAGTCTTTTTCACGAGATCTTGGTACATTTAAAGGTGACCGATCTAGACTAAAATCCTTTAGATTGCCAACGAAGTACTCCCAAAAGTAAATGAAACAAAGCACCAGACTGGATACCAAAAAGAACCATATTAACTGCAAATCCCAAATTTAAGACCTGAGTGTCATATACAGGAAGTTGCACTTTCTTCCTTAGGTAATTGCTTTCATGCAGGGATTTCAAAACACTTTACAAAAATTGAACTGGGTGTGCTCAGCTGTGTAGTTTTGTCCTTGAACTTCCACGGCATGCCAAAAGACTGGAAAGAAAGGAAGCCAAGGGCATAAAAGGATTTATCAGTTTTTATTATTAAATGTTGATAACACATTGTTCATAAAGCACCTTCATATGTATAATCTAATTTTACCCTCTGGACAACCTCCTGAGACTGTAAATAATTCAGTGTTTTTAAAAATATTTTTTAGACGTACTTTTATTTTGTTCATTTATTTATGTGTGGTGCTGGGAATCAAACCCAGTGCCGTGCCTCACACATGCTAGGCAAGTGCTCTACCACTGAGCCATAACCCTAGCCCAATAATTCAGTTTTATTTATTTTTTTAAATATCTTTTTAAATTGTAGATGGATACAATACCTTTTATTTATTTTTATGTGGTGCTGTGAATTGAACCCAGTGCCTCACACTTGCTAGGCAAGCGCTCTACCACTGAGTTACAGCCTCAACCCATAATTTAGTTTTATAAATAAGGAGATAGAGACTCAGAGAAACTGTGACTTGCTGAAAGTTTCCTTCCCCCACTAGATTTCTGCTATATATAGCCATCTTACATTTTAGAAAATTGTACCCACCAAAACCCCAAACACAAACACAAGGGTGAAATCAACCTAGGGCAAATGGATTGAAAAGAATGATACTTATAGATTCAGACCCTCTTATCCCTCTGCTACACATCAGTACAGTGTAGCTCTAGATCACATGGTTAGTAAATAGAATAACACTAAAATATCATAAGGATGGCAAAATGTGGGTTCCCTTGAGCTGTACCTATGCATGGAACACATGCCAAATTCAGTTTGAGATTTCCATAAAAGAATAGAGGTTGCAAAGCAGAGTTAGTAAGTATTCCATTTGGAATATCACAAAAATTGTTTAGAGGCCAAAATAAAGTGTTTACCATTACAAACCAAAAAGAAAAGAAAACCTTTCTTCTTAAGAAGAGCTTTGCTAGGCTCAGTAGCGCACACCTGTAATCCCAGCCACTCAGGAAGCTGAAGTAGGAGGATTGCAAATTCAAAGTCAGCCTCAGCCATTTAGTAAGGCTCTAAGCAGACCCTGTTTCAAAATGAAAATAAAATGCACTGGGCAAATGGAATATCATTCACCTTTAAAGAACAGTGAAATTATGGCATTTGCCAGTAAATGGATGGAGTTGGAGAATATCATGCTAAACGAAATAAGCCAATCCCCCCAAAAAAACAACGGCTAAATATTTTCTTTAATATGTGGATGCTAATTCACAACAATGCGGGGTACACTAGAGAAGAATAGCGCTACCTTAGATTAGGTAGAGAGAAGTGAAGGGAGGCGAGGAGAGTGGGTATGGGGATAGGAATGATAGTAGAATAAAACAGACAAAAAATTATTACTTTATGTATATATGTGACTGCATGACCAATGTGATTCTGCAACATGTACACTCAGAAAAATGAGAAATTATATCCCATCTATGTATGATATAGCAAAGTGCATAAATGCATTCTACTGTCATGTATAACTAATTAAAACAAATTTAAAAATTGATTTTTAAAAAGGGCTGGGGATGTGGCTCAGTGCGTAAGCTCCCATAGTTTAATACTCAATACCCACCCCCCATACCATACCAAATGTACCATACCAAATGGCAGATAATCAAAGAGAAACTTGCAACATAAACCTCCTCCCTGTATTTTTTTAATATTTTCTTTTTAATTACCAAATCCCTCACCCATGCAACCCAAAATTAAAAAGAATTGCCCCAATTTATACCATAATTATCATTAACTTGGAATCTTTGGTTTCTGTGGCTTGTGCTTAAAATTTAGAAAGGCTTACTCCCCAACTTCTAAGACATAATCTCAAATTTCAGATAAGTTACACACATTCATAAAGGGGACCATTAGGCTACCAATAAAAATAAAATTATAGCTCTAACTTTATAATCATGGTATAGCAGATTTTTCTAAACAATGTTACTAAAATAAGCTTGTAAAAATTGTGTATACATACAGAAAAATTTGAAAACCAAAATTAAAATATAAAAATGGTTATCTTTGGATGATGGGACTGTAGAGGATTTTAATTTTGTTTTATTTTTGCAACCAAAAAGAAAAGTTAAGTTGGACTTGTTTTCTGATTCTTCTTTATCTAGTCTCATAAAATCACCAAGATTTAGTCTATTAGACCACAACAAATAATAGAAACTGGAAAGGAACCTAAAATTTATTGATCACCTACTAAGACTTTCATATGCATTATTTCTTTAACCTTTATTATTGTCCCCATTTTACAGATGAGAAAAAGAAGCAGCTAGTAAGTGACAGAGTCTACATTTGAGTCCAGACATACAGGATTCCACTGATTTTCTAGAAACACTTATTTTATTATATATGTACATTCATTCTTCCAAATACTTATTTGTTTTGTTGACTCTTTGGATTTGTTCAGGGTTTGGGGTTTTTTTTTTCCTTTGTTTGTTTTTGCAGTACTGGGATCAAATCCAGATCCTCACACATGATAAGCAAACACTCTGCCACTTAGCTATCTTCCCAGCCCCCCAAAACTCATTTATTAAAAGATCTTTTCCTCTAGCTTTTGAGTTCTTTCATACACATTTGACAGGAGGCACCATTTGCTAAAAGTCATATAGGTAGTATGAGATGGGATTTAAAATTCACACCATTCTGCCTACCTGAAAAAAAAGAGATAATTATGGGATAATTAAAGATCCAGAGGAAAATTTATTGACCTCAATTAATAATATTCTGTAGGTCAAGAATCTTCATCTAAGTATTTCAAATTTGAGGGGACAGAAATAATTACATGTGTGTACACAGACACACATTTACACATTATTACAGTAGGCAGAGAAATATAGAATTTAATAAATGGAAGGAATTGTGAACAAGAAAGCTTCAGACCCACACAAAGATGGCTATGCTAAAATTCACACCCAGTCCTGATTCCCAGGCAAATGCTCAATTCAAGGACCAAGAAATTAATTCATTTTCTTCAGCATTTCAAGTCTCTGGTTAAGGTCTTCCAAGTCAACCTCTTCGGAATCATAAGGGTCGATGGACAGGCTTGCTTGAGGTTTTACATCAGGCAAATTAGACAGCATAAAGTTATGGAAACCAATCTTGGTTCTTGATTCTGGCTTTGAAGAAGTTTGGGGGCTGAGTCCTGGACCTATGTATTTCAATATATGTAATTAAAAGTCATAACAAGGCAGTCCTCCAGAAGAAAATCCCAGCCTCAAAGAAAGAGGCTACTATTGCATTGTGAAGAAATTAAGAATATACTCTTTCAAAATATGCTGAATTGGTCTATTGATTATTTCAAGTTGAAATCACATGTAGCTTCAAAGAGGACTATTTGGCCCATTTTTTCCTACACGCAGCAAGTCATAAAGATTTTCTTGGATGTCCTTCCCACTCCAAGCCACTAGACTCTGGTAACTGGGGCTTAGTGAACCTAAATAAATGCCTCTAAGTAACTCTTACCTTCCACTAGCTTTTATTTCCCACCCCATATACCTCTTAGTAATATCCCTAGAATTTACTACTCTCATCCAAAGATCCATTTGTCCTGTCATTCCTGCAAATTTATTTTCTTTGTCTAAAAAAGTATATAAGCATTATGCCTTGGCCACGTCATTGAACTTTACTCTCTAATGTGCAAAAGTAATAAATCTTGGGGCTGAAGTTGTAGCTCAGTGGAAGAGCTCTTGCCTAGCATGCGTGAGGCACTGGGTTTGATCCTCAGCACCACTTAAAAATAAATAAAGGCTTTGTGTCAATATACAATTAAAAATTATAAACAAATAATTCTTGTTGCTTTTATCTTATTAATCAGATCTTATGCTAATTCAGTTTCTAGACCCAGCCCAAAAACCCATCTAAGAACCTAGGGTTGGGAGAGGGGATCACTCCCTCTCCTACAATGGCTTTTGAGAATGCAGCATATGCTATGACTGGAAAACTTAACAATTCTCCCTTCATGCAACAGGTGGTATTGTTTATCATTTGCTGGCAATCTTCTTTAAGGTTCACTGGAGCTTTTAACAAAGGCACAATTTTCAAAATATGTGACAGGACGATCTCTTATAATATTGGTTCTTTGTGTTAAAGACTCCCGAAATCTGATGAAAGCA